CTGTCTCACTTTCCTTCTCTCTCTGGTCAACTTCAAAAAAATAAAATAATGACAGTGAATAAAATTAAATAATTTTTTTTTTTAAAAAAAAGAGGGGCAGGCAAATGGAGTGGTAGTTGAGAGCGGTAGACTCCCACATGGCTGACCACAGTTCTAGTCCCAGACCTGGTGGGCTGCTATCTCACTTTCCCTCTCTCTCACTCTGTCTCTCAAGTTAAAAAAAAAAAGATGGGACCAGAAGATGGTGTAATGGCTATGTTGCTGGACTCCCATGTAGTCAACTGCGGTTCAAGTCCCAGACCTGGTGGCTTAAACTCACACCAGCCACGTGTGCGTGCATGCCCAAGATCCCAAGAAGAAAGTGAAGTAGAAGGGATTGTGGCCTGGCCATCCCCAGGGGGGTGATTTCTCACTTTCTGTTTCTGTCTCTTTCTTTCTGGTGAGTGCACACACCCTATAGCAAAAACCTCTCAAAAAATAATAATAATGATAATAGTAAATAAAGTTAAATAAAAATAAATCTTTTTTTAAAAAAATAATCCATCTAGTATAAGATTCTAATGTGGCTGTCAAAAGCATGAACTGGAAATTTAAAGAAAATTTTACAAGAGCCTAAACTAGCTAGTATGTGAAGTCAATCAGGACTCAGATAAAGTCTTCCAGTTGCACACAAATGCTCTTACCTACTCAATCTTTCCTAACAGGTTATAAAGTCGCCTACTTTGCAGACACTATTTGGCATTCCTTATATGGAGGGAAGAGATGCCTTTGACAAAAAAGTCCCAAGTCTCAACTCGGTATTGAAAAACTAGAATGCAATGATTTAAATACCGAATAATTGAGGAAGATGTACAAAGGGATGATGAAGTCTTGTGGACATTGTACTGATTTGGTAACTTGCATAAAGAGTTTTCTTTCCTAGTCATCTTCTCTTTTGACATTTTCAGAGAGGGAGGAGAAATCTATAACCAAATGCAAGTATATTAGTGCCTGAGATCACATTGGTAATGCAGCATTCTTGGACAATAAATCATGCCTTGGCTCCTCAATTAGATATACTTCTAATGTAAAAGTGCTTTTTGTAGTTAAATTACATTCTATAGATACTATAATTTTAAATAAACTATATAATTATTTTAAAAAGCCATGTTTTTCTTTCATATGCAATTACTTTGTAATTAATATATTGTCAATATATAGGAATGGAGTTTACAAAGCAAAGAAAGCCTATGATACAGTGAGAAAAAGATGATTCAGTCACCAGACTCTAGGCTACATACACAGACTTCGATCGTATGTGTAAAACACAGGTATTTAAATAATGCAGGTAACTTTGTTTTAAATTATTCTTATGATTAAATAATTATTCACTTAACATTGCATATATACAAGATTCAAGAGGCCAGCAGCTGGATAGACAGAAAAGCACCACTTTAAAAAATGACTCTAATTATAGATGTCACTAATTTTGCATGGAACCTAGAATCTTAAGTTTTAAAGACCACACAGAGCTTGCAGAGAAGAGTCTCAAGACACACAGGTTTATAAGAATTAGTACTGTGATTCTGCTTAGACCAAACATCTGCAAAGGGCAATGTTCTCAACATGAGGTTAGGAAATATATATCCCCAAAGGCAGTATGCAGAATAACATCTGTCTCTTATCTCAGCTCCAAGCTGAAAAAAGAGAGAGAGAAAAAAAAAAAAAAGAAAGGGAGAGAGGAAGAAAGACTATTCTCCCTGATTTGTTATAACAATAACTATTGTACATAGGCTTTTACAATTCAAATCTACAAAAAATATGTGGGCCAGGAAAAGAAACCAAAAAGTTCATTTGAAGTCATCCCAGTTTTATAATACTTTTAAGTGTATGATAGAAGTAAATGCAAATTCTCTTTAAAAAAAATTCTCTTGGAGGTAGACAAACTCATCATGAGTTTCCCACAGATAGAGATTAACTATAAATGAAAGAAGGGACAAAACTTATAAAATATCCAACAATACAAATTAACACAAGTGAGAATCAGAAAAAATCATAATAAACTTTATATTCAAATCCCCCAAGGACATGAGATATTGGACTTTTCAGACACCAATCTTGAAACAATTGTGGAACATGATCAAAGAACATGATATAAAAAATATTTGAAGGGAACCAGCAGTTAGTGTAATGGCTATGTCGCTGGACTCCCACGTAGTCGACCGCGGTTCGTGTCCCGGACCCGGTGGCTTAAAACTCACGCCGGGCGCGTGTGCGTGCGTGCCCAAGATCCTGAGAGGAGAATGGAGGAGAAGGGATTGCGGCGTGACCATCCCCCCTGGGGGGTGATTTCTCACTTTCTGTCTCTATGTCTCTCTGTCTGTCTGGCGAGCGCACGCGCCCTACAGTGAAAATCTCTCAAAAAAAAAAAATATTTGAAGAATCACCAAAGGGTCAGACGGTGGTACAGCCATAAAACATGGTGCTTTATGGGGCAATCCCACATGAGAAGGTTCATTGCCCAAGTCCAGAGACTTCCCTGCATATGTTCACATACATTTGTCCAGGATCAAGGGCTGGCTGAAGGATGGGGAGGATCATGGTGTCAAGACCCTCTTGGGGATGCACTCTCTCACTCTTTTTCTCTCGTGCATGGAAGAAATAAATGAATATACTTAAAAAAAAATACTTCTAGAAGTAAAAAATCAAATCCTGAAATTAAAATCTCAATGGGCAGATTAAGCTGCAGATTAGATTCAGCTGGATAAAGAGTAAATGAAGAGACAGTAAGGCACTGGGGCTATTTGGCTGGTTGTTCCACTGCCAACTAGGCCTTCTGCGGGTCTCAGACAGAGAGCACAGGTTCATCAGGCCCACACATTGCATGCAACACACAACTTTACTACTTTAAGGTCAACCTCCATAAATCAGTTCTCAGCCACGTTGGATTTACAAATTTTGGAAACAAGAGGGAAACTAGTGTGGAATATACCACAAAGAAAGAAAATACCACAGCTCTAGAAACCTACCCCAAATAGGTAGGGAAAAGCAAGTGTGTTACTAGATGCCTAGAAAACAAAGAAGAGCCTCCAAAAATAGCAAAAAATCAGAAAATACACCCCCCTCAAAAGAACACAGCAACTCCTCACTGACTATGGGGAAAAAAAAAAAAAAAGAAAAGAAATCCCAGAAATAGAATTCAGAATATTCATCATAATGAAAGTCAATGAGAAGCAAGAGAAAATGGAAAACCAGCTCCAGAAGCTTATAAGATCATTCCATGACATGAAGGAGAAATTCCATAAAGAGATAGACACCCTAAGAAAGAATCAAACAGCATATCTGGAGATGAAGAATACGATACAAGAAATCAAAATCTCCCTTGAAAGTATCAATAACAGACTGGACCATGCAGAAGAAAGAATCTGTGATCTGGAAGACAAAACTTCTGACTTAAGACAAAAAAAAAAAAAGAAAGAAAGAAAGAAAAAGAAAAATATTAGGATAATAAATGGGAAAAACTAGACACCATTAAACACCCAAATACCCAAATAATGGGAATTCCAGAAGGCAATGAAGCTGGTAAAGGCACAGAAAACCTTTTCATTAAATACTATCTGAAAACTTTCCAAATCTAGAGAAACATAAAGATACACAAATCCAGGAAGCACAAAGGACACAAAATAGAATCAACATAAGAAGATCCTCTCCACAGCACATCATATTCAGATTGGTAAAAATCAAAAACAAAGACAAAATTCTAAAAATGGCAAGAGAGAAGTGTCAAGTTACAAAAGCTGTCCTACTAAGCTAACATCAGATCTGTCAACTGAAACTATGCAGGCAAGGAAAGAACGGGAAGACACATTCAAAACTCTAAAAGAAAAACAATTCCAACTAAGAATACTATACCCAGCAAGATTATCCTTCAAATGGGAAGGAGAAATAGAAACATTCTCAGAAAAACAAAAACTGAAAGTGTTTATGAAATCTAGTCCAGCTCTTCAAGAAATACTGAAGGAAGTACTGTATCAGGAAAACTAAAAAGAGATAAATAGAAATAACTCAAAATAGTCAAGAAAATTACTAACAAAATGACAGAGATAAGCCCACAAATATTGATAACATTGAATGTTTATTGATTAAATTCTCCAATGAAAAGACAGAGACTGGCTGAATAGATTCAAACAAACAAACAAACAGGAGCCCTCTATATGCTGCTTAGAAGAAACGCACCACACAGATAAAGACATACATAGACTGAAAGTGAGGAGCTGGAAAAAGATATTCCATGCAAAAGGAAATTTTTTAAAAGGCCAGAGTTGGGACCAGAAGTTGGCGTAATGGCTATGTCGCTAAACTCTCATGTAGTCGACCATGGTTTGTGTCCCGGACCCAGTGGCTTAAACTCACACCAGGGTGTGTGCATGTGTGCCCAAGATCCCTAGAGGAGAATGGAGGAGAAGGGATTGTGGCATGGCCATCCCCCCTGGTGGGGGTGATTTTTTGCTCTCTGTCTCTCTGTCTTTCTGGTGAGCGCACGCGCCCTATAGCAAAAACCTCTCATCTCAAAAAAAAAAAAAAAAAGGCCAGGGTTACAATACTGAAATCAGGCAAACAGATTTTCAAGACAAAAACTATAAGAGACAAAGGAGGAAACTATATATTGGGTCATTGGAAAAGTCATGACATATTTTTTTGTGTTTTTCTATGCAAAAAGAATTAGCCCTTTTAGTACTAAAAGGACTTGTTCACCGAAAGATGTAACGTTTACAAATATTTATACACTCAACATGGAGCACCTAAAAGTGTGCTAGATCTAAAAGAAGAGATAGACTGTAACATGATAATCATTGAGAAAGAATTTCAACACCCCACTGTCACCTCTGGACAGATCATCTAGACACAAAACAAGAAGGAGATACAGGAACTAAATAATATCATAAATCACATAGACTTGTAAGGAATCTATAGAACTTTCTACCCAACAACTACAAAATATACATTTTTCTCACTCCTGTATGGAACATTTTTGAAGCTTGACCACACAATGGGGCACAAACAAGCCTTTACAAATTCAAAGATATATATATACAATATCTTCTCTGATCACAATGGAATTAAACTTGAATTTAAAATTAAATTAAATTTAACTTCATTAAACCCTCAAAAAGACACAAATACATGGAAAATAAACAGCCTGTGAATGACTTCACAACTACTGACAAAATTAAGTCTGAAATAAAAAGATTCATTCAAACTAATGATAACAAGCATATGAGTTTTCATAAGCTATGGAACACAACAAAAGCACTCATATGAGGGAAGTTCAAAGCAATTAGTGCCCACAAGAAAAAAATTACAGGGTGTCAAACAGACAACAACATATTTCAGAGAACTGGAAAAACAACAACAGCAAAAAAGAAATACAAGAAACAATAAAGATTAGAGAAGAAATAAATAGAGAATAAATAAACTATACAGAAAATAAATGGAATCAAAAGCTGGTTCTTTGATAATACCCATTTAATACCCATTAGCTAGATTAATTAAGAAGAATGTAGAAGGACCAGTGGGTGGTAGAGTGGTTAGGGCACTGAACTCCCATATGGCCAACTGTGGTTAGAGTCCCAGAACCCAAGGCTTGAAACTCATGCCAGGCACATGTAAATGCATTCCCAGAATACTGAGAGGAGACTGGAGAAGGAATTGTGATGTGGCCATCCCCCTAGGGGGTGATTTCTCACTTTCTGTCTCTCTCTGGCAAGCACAAAAAATATAGCAAAAATAAACAAAAAACTTCTCTCATAAAAAGAAAAAGAAGGGAACCAGCAGTTAGCATAATGGCTATGTCACTGGATTCCCACGTAGTCGACCGTGGTTCACATCCCAGACCCGGTGGCTTAAACTCACGCCGGGCGCATGTGTCTGTGTGCCCCTGAGCCCAAGAGGAGAATGGAGGAGAAGGAGAAGGGATTGCGGCGTGGCCATCCCCCCCAGGGGGGTGACTTGTCACTTTCTGTCTCTATGTCTCTCTGTCTTTCTGGCAAGTGCACATGCCCTATAGCAAGAACCTCTCCAAAAAAAAAAAAAAAAAGGCATGGAGAGCAACTGTGAATACGAGAGATAGTGTGGGAGAAGTGTGAACAATGGGGGCCAGGAGGGAGTGAATCAAGAGGGTGAAAAAGCAAAAACATTTAACATACATGAAAATGGAAAGTTATCTTTTGATAATAATGCGTATGGTAATGTCTCTAACTGGAGTAATATGCTGTGTATACATGCTGGGAAAATTTATTTTGCATGCTGCAGAGATGTACAGTGATTAAATATTAAAAAAAATAAAACAGGAAATTAAAGAAAAAAACATTTTAAAAAAGTAAATGAACTACAAAATAGATGGGGAGACATTATCAAGAAGAAAATAGAGAGGAACAGATAAAGAATATGAGGCAATGTTAAAGAACGTAGAGGACAGAATGATAAGGTCTAATGTATACTAAAAGAAGATCCAGAGAAACAGAACAAAAAGATTGAGGGAGGGCTGACCTCATGATCTATTAGTTGAAGGAGCAGGATCCCACATGGCTAATCACACATTTTGAGTCCCAGACCTGGAGACTTTAAAAATACACCAAGCATGCATGTGTGTGTGTGTACATGTTAAAAAATCCTGACCAAGTGGAGAGATGGAGAAGAGGGGATCATTGTGTGAACATACCCAACTGAGGGATGCTTTCTCTCTTCCCCATCCTTTCATTCTGACAAGTGAACATGCCCTCTGCTGAATTAAAAAAAAAGAAAAAAAGGAGCCAGAAGTTGACTGGGAGGTTAACAAAATAGTTCCCACATGGCCAACTCTTCAGTTCAAGTCCCAGACTCAGGGCTTAAAGATCACACCAGACACATGCCCAAAATCCCAAGGGGAGACAGGCCGATACGGGACTATGGTGTGGCTAGCCCCCTGGGAGGTAAATTCTCTCTCTCTTTTTCTCTCTCTCTCTCTCTCTCTGGCAAGTGTATAATTTTTTAGAATTAAATCTGCATTCTCAGATTCAGGAAGCACAACAAATATCAAAACAAAGAAATAAAAAGAAATAAAGAAAGGGGTCTTCAAAAAGTTAATGGAAAATGCACAGTATTAAAAAATTATGCATGACTTTCAAAAAGTTTTACACCAAAATAAACTTGTATTTTAATTTTATTTTCCATAAACTTTTTGATGTCCCCTTATGTATACCTAAGTATATCATAAGTTGAATGGTGGCTATACAAAAAGATATGTCCAGCTCTCTGCCACATGCGCACAGTTGTCCGGTTGCAGTGACCCGGGGGCGGGGCATCGTGAGGACGGCAGCCCGCTGGGGGATGTGGACGTCCCGTGCATGCCGGCGGCTGCATCAGGCTGCAGGAGAAGATGGTCTCCACAGAAGTTAAAGTTCCTCATAGTTTTCGCTTGTTGGAAGAACTTGAAGAAAGACAAAAAGGAGTAGGCAATGGTACAAGTAGCTGGGGCATTGAAGATGATGAAGATATGACACTGACAAAGTGGACAGGCATGATTATTGGGCCACCAAGGACAAATTATGAAAACAGAATATATAGCCTGAAAGTAGAATGTGGACCTAAATACCCAGAAGCTCCTCCATCAGTTAGATTTGTAATAAAAATTAATATGAATGGAATAAATAATCCAGTGGGATGGTAGATGCACGGAGCATACCAGTGTTAGTAAAATGGCAAAACTCTTACAGCATTAAAGTCATCCTTCAAGAGCTATGACGTCTAATGATGCCCAAAGAAAATATGAAGCTTCCACAGCCACCAGAAGGACAAACATACAACAATTAATTTCAGAGGCTCTCAAATTTGTCTTAAGTCAACGACTTTCTACTCATAGAAATGTCTTGATTAAATATCACAATGCAAATACCCACACATTAACTAAAAGAATTCCAGCTAGTAAACCTGACTGGACATTTGTAAGAATATATTTAATATATATACACCCATTATGTTTCCAGGGAACGAGAGGGAAAATGCAGCACAATTTGTTTTCTCTCTTGTTAAGGCACTGTCATTTAAATGTAAGCCTGGAGTACTCAAAATAGAATTCGAGATTTCAAGATGAAAGCATGGCAAGAAGTGTCAGATGGCAATGGTGTAAGCATGTGTTTTGAAAAGTAAAAAATCTCAAGAAGGAAAAACAGAAATGGCATGCTTTATCTATCTCGCTTAGTGAAAGAGCTGCAGTCGAAATTGTTTAAGGTAGCAGGCACAATGAATATTGTCACAAATTGTGTTAATTTTTGAAGCGGTGTGGGTGCTGACTACTAGTAGTATCAAAAATATGTTCAGGGTTGTTTTGATACCTGTACTTACAATAAAAAAAAATGTTGGGGGTGTATCAAATTTCTGTTAAAAGCTATTCCTGTGTGTTACATATAACAGATATGGTAAATATTTGTTTACAGTTTTGTTTAACAAACCATGCATTTAAGTTGAAGTGAAGTCAACAAAAAGGAAATAGGTGTATGGATATGTGATTTTGAGATTAAAGTTAGTCTTAAAATGAAAATAAAATGTGGAGCATGTCCTCAAGGGAAAAAAAAATGATATGTCCATGTCCCAATTTTTGGAACTTGTAAATGTGATGTTATTTGGAGAAAAAGTCTTTGCATATGTAATCAAGTTAATCAAGTACATCTAAGATATCCAATGACAGACATACTTTTAAGAGAAAAGAGGGACACAAGAAACAGACACAGAAAAGAAGACTCTGTGAAGACTCATGTGAAAATAAAGGCAGAGATTGGAGTTAAGCAGGCACAAACCCAAGAACACCTGCGACTGCTGCTAAAGGAGCAAAAATGTTAACAGAAAACATGGTTAAAAACAAAACAAACTATACACACAGACACACACTACATAAATATACATACACATACTGGTTTAATGGTGAAAGAAGAGTAAAACTTTCATAATATTCTGAAAGGATTCATTCTATTGGGTTGTCGGAAAATTCATTATGTATTTTTCTGGTTTTCTACTGAAAAATCCATCATGACTCCCAAACAACCCAATATTTTTGGAAGGAAAAGGATATGAGACAGAAAACCAGAGAAAGAAAGAAAAAAGTATAGTAATATTTAAGACCATGAGATTTTGATACTTGTAGTAAAATGTAAAGGAATGTTTGAGGTCTAAGGACAACATTCCAAGGTGAAAGAAAATTTTTCAAATCTTTATTTACCTCAGCTCTTTTACTATGCAGTCGTATTTGTAAACTTTTCTTTCTCTTGACTTTATTTTCTCCTGAAAAATCAAAGGATTTTTCTTCTCCACATAGAAATATTGATGCTTCACACCTAATTGCACAGAAATTGGAATAGCTCCTGAATTATTCATCTTAGTTTTTCTCCTCTACTTCAACTTTTAATTATGAAAATTTTCAAATTATCTTCCCATGCTCTCATCATCTGGCTTTGATAATGTCTAATCCTATTCCACTTACGTTCTTATCCCTGTTCCCATCCTTACCATTTTGAAATAAATCCCTGTACCATACATATTTCATCTGTAAAGATTTTAATAAACATCTTTAGAACACCTATTAACAATAGTTTTGTTTTTGTTTTTGTTTTTAATTTGCTATAGGGCACATGTACTCACCAGAAAGACAGACAGTGAGTCAGAGAAGGAACGTGAGAAAGCACTTCCCTCTTGTCCATTCTCCTCTCAGGATTCTGGGTACACACACACACACACATGCCTAGTGTGTTTTTCAAGACACAGGTTCTGGGACCCAAATCATTAAGTAGGCTATGTGAGATCCACCCACCTGAACAACCGCATCACCTGGCTGGTCCAATAATTTCTTAATATTATCAAATATGAAGGAGGGTCTCAAAAAGTTCATGAAAAAAATAGGTATTATTTTAGGGACCAGCAGTTGGCATAATGGCTATGTCACTGGACTCCCATGTAGTCAACCATGGTTCGAGTTCCAGACCCGGTGACTTAAAATTCACACCAGGCACGTGTGCATGCGTGCCCAAAATCCTGAGAGGAGAATGGAGGACAAGGGATTGCGGCATGGCCATCCCCCCGAGGGGTGATTTCTCGCTTTCTGTCTCTCTGTCTCTTTCTGTCTTTCTGGAGAGCACATGCGCCCTATAGCAAAAGCCTCTCCAAAAAAAAAAAAAAGGGGTATTATTTAAACAGTACATGAATTTTAAAATATTTTGCATCAAAATAAACCTATAATTTTTTATTTTTTTATTTTTTGCTATAGGGCACATGTGCTCTCCAGAAAGACAGAGAGACAAAGAGACAGAAAGTGAGAAATCTCCCCTCAGGGGGGATGGCCACACCGTAATCCCTTCTCTTTCATGCTCCTCTCAGGATCTTGGGCACGCATGTACACACGCCTAGCGTGAGTTTAAGCCACGGGGTCTGAGACTCGAACAATGGGGAACTACATGAGAATCCAGTGACATAGCCATTATGCCAACTGCTGGTCCCAACAAACTCATCATTTAATCTTATTTTCCACAAACTTATTGAAGTCTCCTAAGTATACTGTCAGTGTTCAAATTTCTAGTTGACACATAAATGTTATAAAATTTTTAACACTTTATATCAGAATTCAGTAAAGTCCTTATATCATAATTGGTTCACATGTCTTTTAAATTTTTCATCTATAGATTCTTCTTCCATGTTTTATTGTAGTAATAGAAGCAGTGGTACTATTACCAGGCTATTTGTCCTGTTGATTTTTCACAGTCTGGATTTTTCTGATTGTCTTACTATAGATACAGAATTCTAGAGGCTTGAGTATAACCACTTTCTTTTTTCTTTTTTTATGGAGGGAGCAAAACTACAATATAGGTAGTGATGTTTTGCCATCAGGTAACACATAATGTCCAATGGCATATAACATCCAATGGTTTTATATCATCTATCTACACATAATAACTGGATCCAATAAGTAATCAGAAATCTATATTATAAATCTATCATCCTATTTTCACACTTACTAGCACGAACAGTTCTACATCAAAAAACTTCTGTACTACTTAGTTATTCAATAAGGCAAGTTCAGAGTTTTTAACTTACATTTTTTTATGTTCTGGGCTCAAACTCCTAATTTCAGGTGAAATTTTCTTCCCTATTGTTTGAGAAAATCTTATGTATTTCTTGCTGTCAATATTTCTTGATGGCAAGCTGGCTGCAAAAGAGTTACAGCTATCCTCTGATAAATCAATATTTTCTTCTGCCTGAGAAATAATCAAGAGCAAAATCAGCCATGCTCTCTTTGTATATATAAGTCTTCAAAAAGTTCCCTGAGAAATGTGTATTATAAAAAAACTATCCATAGATTTCAGAATTTTTCACACCAAAATAAACTCGTAATTTAAGTCCATTTTTTCCATAAAGTTTTAAAATACCTTCATATACTCTATATACCTCCAGTTTTCCCTTGTGCATTATGTAGCTACAAAATGCATAGCATTCATTAATAACAGTTCATTAACTAATAGTTATTGAATCTAGTTGTTAAGATATCAAGTTGCAAAATGCTACCGTATATTTTTTCAATCAGTATCTTTTCATTATGAAATTTAAATTTTAAATACAAATGAAAGACATGACCTGTGAAAAAAATAATTGGTAACTTGGAATTAATTAAACTTACATTCTTATACTTTATAAAAGACACCATGAAGAGAATGAAAAGAAAACCAGTGGGAGAAAAAAATTGACAAAAACATATCTGATAAAGGAATGTTATCCAGGGACCAGACAGTAATACAATAGTAAAACATAATGCTCTGTGAAGCAATCCCACATGGGTTCCCCACTCAACTCCAGAGACCTCCCTCAGTATACCAAGCACATGCATGTCCATGATCAAGGCTAACTAAAGGCTAGGGTTAAATTGCAGCATCAAGACCCTAAGGATGCTCTCTCTCCCCCTTCTTTCTCTCTCTAATGAAAGAAATAAATAAACTGTAAAAAAACAAAAAGAACTGTTATTCAAAATTATTCAAAGAATTCTTAAAATACAACAATAAGATAAAGAACTGCCCAATTTAAAAATGGGGGGAAAATCTGAACAGGTATCTCCCTAAAGAGATACAGGTGGCACGTAAGCATATGAAAAGATGCTCAAGATCATATGTCATTAGGGAATTGCAAATTAAAACCATGAGATACTACTACATAACTGATAGAATGGTGAAAACTATAAGCATTGTGAAAGAAACTGAAGAAGACAAAAATAAATTTTAAAAAAATGGGAAATATATTGATCAACAGGTACAAAGTTTCAGATTGGAGGAGTAAATTTTAGTAATCTGTTATACTGCATAGTCACTACAGTTAATTGTGTATTTATTTTCCAAATTGCAAAAAAATGTCAAGTTAGTGCAAAGATGGATATGTTAATGATGGGTATGTTACTTCTTGACTGATTCTATAATGTACACATAGAACAAAACAGTACGTCACATACTGTAATTATTATCAATTAAAATGTTTTTTACTTTTGAATTTTAAAACAATATTTTCAATTCAAATTAGACTTCCAATTATTATTTCAGTGAAAATCCAAAACACTAACAAGTGTTGGGAAGGATGTGAAGTTAGAAGACCTCTTATTCTCTGCTAAATGATTGCAAAATGTGATAGTCACTTTGGAAGAGACTTGAGCAGTTTCTTGCAAAATTAAATATACTCTTACCATATATCCAGGAACTACACTTGTTGGTATTTACCCAAATGAGTTGAAAATTTATGTCTACACAAAAACTTGCATATGGATATTTATAGTAATTTTTATAACTTCAAAAATTTGGAAACAATCAAGATGTCCTTCAGTAGTAAATGGAAAGTACTCAGGCAATTTATAAAGCAGATCACCAAAGGAGTTTAGGAATAATCTCTACTTCCACATGAAATGAAAATTAAGGGAACTATTTCAGTGACTTTTAGAATCTGTAATATCTGTGTGTGCCCAAAATCCCAAGAGGAGTATGAAAAAGAAGAGATTGCAGTGTGGTCATCCCCCTGGGGAGTGATTTCTCACTTTTCCTCTCTATCTCTCTGTCTCTTTCTGGGGAGCACACATGCCCTATGGCAAAAACCTTTTTTAAAAAAGAGCTATCTAAGTTACTAAGCAAGTTCTTTATTATTTATGAGTTTGCTTACTGAATATGGATATGAAATAATATAAACTAATTTTAATCAAAGAAAGAATCTTTAGAAATGGTTTTGGATAAATACCTGGCAGAATAAATGTACTTCAGTTTCCATCTTTCTGTTTAGTGGTAAATTCTGCCCTTGAGTACTCAAAGGGCTTGATGAACAAGTATGAATAAGCTATAATATGAAAGGATTTCCTGCCAAAAAAATAAGAGAAAAAAATCACATACCTGTTTAGGAGACTTGAGTAATTACATGTACCCAACTGAAGTCGTCTTTTCAATGTAAGACTCTCTTAAGGGCATAGTACCCAATAAACACAGATATGTGGACAAAAACTAGATAAAGCAGTTTATAGGTCATACATCACAAGAGATAAACACAGCTTTTTAACTGTACCTTTTGCGGTTACAGAGAAATCCAATTTCAAATTGCATGAGAAGCAGAGAAATCCAGTTATATTTATTTATTCAAATAAACCCTGAGGAGCCAGAATCATTCATTATCGAATGTTTACTATGTACCAGACATGATAAAACATTTTGACATAAATTATTCCATTCATATCTCACAACTATCCTTTCAGAATTGTCTTTATCCATATTTTACAGATAAGAAAAGTAAAGATTTGAAGAGATCAGGTTTCCCAAGATCACAAAGCCAGCAAATAGAGTCAGAATTTGAATTTACACAATCTTCGGGTCCATACAACTTTGCCTCTAAAAACAATGCTATTGCAAACAAAAGACATTTTAGCGTGATTTTAAACCCAAAACTCGCATTATGGAAATATTACATAATAACTAACACTTTTAGAAATTTCCAAAATGTTGGGTTTTTTAGGTATATCTGAGTTACATTTGATAACCAGTTTACTACATTGCTAGTTATATTCCATTATATTCCATTGCTAACTGTAATTGTCAGTGTCTTTTTCATACTGTGAAGATTAACTTACATTAAAGTTCTATTGAAGAGATGACATTTTAAAATAACTTGTATTTTTATTTAAAATATGTTACAGTAATTAATTTTAAATGTAGTGGGTCCAACATTCCTGGAATGCAGAATACGTTAAAAAGAAAATGAAAATACTCATCTCAGAAAACATCAGAAATCTAGAGGGACCAGCAGTTAGCGTAATGGCTATGTCGCTGGACTCCCATGTAGTCGACTGCAGTTCGCGTCCCAGACCTGATGGCTTAAAACTCACGCCAGGTGCATATGCGTGCATGCCCAAGATCCCAAGAGGAGAATGGAGGAGAAGGGAATGCAGCGGCGTAGCCATCCCCCCTGGGGGGTGATTTCTCACTTTTTGTCTCTCTCTCTCTCTCTGTCTGTCTGGTGAGCGCACGCGCCCTATAGCAAAAAACTCTCCAAAAGAAAAAGAAAACATTAGAAATCTATACAGGTGTCCACAGCAACCCATGTAACCTCTTAGGGTTAGAGTTACAGTTATAATCCAGGTAACATATCTATACAATCTATGTACATAGGTTACAATCTATGTTACCGCGTCTAGATCTTTTCTAATCAGTTCCATCTTTAGCATTAGACTACATGGCATAGTATTTACTATCTTCACTATTCTTACTGTCTTCACTATTCAACTCATATTATTTGCCTTGTATTTTAATTTGGACAAGTATATATACCCAACTACAGCCTAAATTATATCCCAACTATAGTCTAAATTTCTAAAGAACTAGGACTAGAAGTGTCATTCTTGGAATTATTTCTTACACTATCAAGCACAATAGTATACATATACAAAGAAGGAAGGAAGGAAAGGAGGGAGGGAGGGAAGGAGGTTGGCTGGTTGGTTGGGGGAGGAAGGAATGAATTCCCTCCCTATTAAGCAACTCACCAAGAGTTCTTAAACCATCAAAGTACTTAATTAAGAATTGGTGAGATTTAAATAAATCTTAAAAGAAATAACTGTGTCATAAATGCATTGATCTGGTTATCAAAAATTTAGCAGGTCTTATTTTCCAGTATTAATCAGATACCTCATAGCCTCTCCAAGCTAAGAGAAAAAAAAAAACATAGAATTCTATTCCTCATAACTCTGAAAACAGAATTGTTTCTTAGCTCTTTCAATTCCATGATATATAAACTTGCATGGACAAAACAAGAAAAATGAAGGGAGCTGTATTCTCTTTTCCAGTCACCTATCCACTCATTCCTCCATCCACAAATATAGTATATATCACACTTACTGTGTGTAGGCTCTCTTCCAGGCTCTGGGACTACAGCAGTGAACAAAGTAGAAAAAAATACTACCTTCTTGGATCTTAATTTCTAGTCAGGAAGAGAGACAATAAAATAAAGAAATAAGTAAAATATACATCATCCATGATAAGTACTAAAGGAAAAGAAGTAAAGCAGGAGAGAAAAATACAAACTGTGATAGAGGGGGAGCGATGCAGGGAATAGAGTAGTGAAGGAGACCTGACAAGACTTTTGAATACAACTGAGGAAATTAAGTAGGGACCTGATGAATATAATAGGAAAGTGCATTTTGGCCAGAAAGAAAAGTGAGTGTAAAGGCCCTAAAGCAAAGAGCCTGAACATTTAAGAGATAGTGAGGGGGCTGGCAGGTAACATGGTGGTTAAAGGCGCTGGATACCCATATGACATACTGCACTTCAAGTCCCAGACCTGGCGGCTTGCTTTCTCATTTTCTCTCTCTACCGCTCCCTCCTGCCTCCCTCCCTCTCTGGTCAAATTGAAACAAACAAATGAATAAATAAAGTCAGATAAAAATAATTATTAAAAAAAAAAGACATAGAAGGCCAGGAGGCTGAAGCAGAACGATTAAGGAAGGGTTGGCAGATCACAGTGGGCCCTTAGACCATAGTGAGAACTTTGACTTTTACTCTGAAGGGTAGAAAGCACTCAGAATTTTGCTTAACGAGATGACATGACTGGAAATCTACAACAGGATCACTCTGGTTACAGTTAAGGAGGAAAATTAGGTGGGTCCGGGTTCCTAGAGGCCAAGTGAAGAAAGCACCTCAAAAGAAGAGGGAATAACCAACTGTGGTAAATGCACTGTTCAGCCAGGTAAGTAATGGCTCATCAGGTTTTATAACATGGAGGACACCAACAACCTTCCGGGAAGCCTTTGGGGTGGTATGATGGAGAGACAATGTCCTTGCAGTGAGTATAAAAGGGACTCCAGGAAAGAAATTGGAGGCAGCCAGCTGACTTTCAAAATAGGAGCCTAGGGAACCAGCAGTTAGTGTAATGGCTATGTCGCTGGACTCCCATGTAGTCGACCGCGGTTCGTGTCCCGGACCCGGTGGCTTAAAACACACGCCAGGCGCGTGTGCGTGCGTGCCCAAGATCCCGAGAGGAGAATGGAGAAGGGATTGCGGCGTGGCCATCCCCCCTGGGGGGTGATTTCTCGCTTTCTGTCTCTCTGTCTCTCTCTGTCTGGCGAGCGCACGTGCCCTATAGCGAAAACCTCTCAAAAAAGAAAAAAAAGAAAAGAAAGAAAGGAGCCTATAGGAACCAACGGTTAGCAATGGCTGTGTCACTGGACTCCCATGTAGCCGACCACGGTCCGAGTGCCGGACCCGGTGGCTTAAAACACACGCCAGGCGCGTGTGCGTGCGTGCCCAAGATCCCGAGAGGAGAATGGAGAAGGGATTGCGGCGTGGCCATCCCCCCTGGGGGGTGATTTCTCGCTTTCTGTCTCTCTGTCTCTCTCTGTCTGGCGAGCGCACGTGCCCTATAGCGAAAACCTCTCAGAAAAAAAAGAAAGGAGGCTATAAAGGAAAGGTCTGGTCAGGCAGAAATGGGGTGCTGAGGATGACCCCGTCACACAGTGCTCCGCCTCTGTCCCCTCACGCTTCTCCTCCCTCACAAGGCCCCCACTCACTTTCCTTGCCACGTGGACCCCAAAAGTCCATCAGTAACAACTGCCTAACAACTTCATTCCGTCCACTGCCATTGGTGAAAGTTCAAGGACGGATCACCCCACTTACAGTATCTTGCGTGAGTGAGTGAACCTCCACCTCACGCAAAAACTTGTGTCATGGCAGGCCCTGCCCTTCCAAAGAAAAGGCCTCCGTGTAGAAAACAAGAGGCCGTGCGAAGTCAGCTACCCATAGGGGCGGGAGCACACCGGGGCCCCACTCAGCCCTCGCGGCCATGCCGCTCTCGCTCCGCCTCAGCTGCGGTCCCGCCCCGCGGTCACCTGACCAAGCTCGGCTCCGCCCACAGGGCTGCCTGGGCGGGGCTGAGTGCCTTACGGGTCGAAGCCACCCTTCTAGAACGATGACTATTTCTGAGGGCCTTTGTGCAGCTGTCACCTCGCTGTTTCTTTTTTTTTTTTTAAATAATTATTTAACTTTATTTATTTATTTCAATTTGACCAGAGAGGGACAGAGAGAGAGAAAGTGAAACAGCAAGCCACCAAGTCCAGGACTGGAACCATGGTTGGCCATGTAGGAGTCCAGCACCTTTAACCTCCATGCCACCTGCCAGCCCCAGCTGTTTCTTTCTGGAACCTTCGTTTCCCCACTTAACTGGTTGCCCTACTTTGTCCTTCAAACATGGTCGCAATCTCCTCCTGAAGCAACGAAGTGGCGGAAGCTCTTCTTTCCTATCTCCTCAGCAAGTCTCACTTCTGCCCCTCTGTCCCCCGAGGGTTACACTGCCACCCCCTCAGGTCGTCCGTTCTTTCCTTACTGCCCGCGGCCCCTGCTTTCTGAGAGGCGGGACCTCACTGCGGCCCCACCAGCCCTAGTGGCCAC